ATCTAGAGGGTCAAAGAGGAAGATTAATCCTCTTGAAGAGAATGTCTCTGGAAAGGGAGAGCAGTTTTGCGATTCAAGGCATTCAAACGTCGCGCAGAATTATGATTGGATGATACAAACTCTCAAGGAAAGGTACTGCGATTATTCCGCTAATAGGTCCCAAATCGTACATAAGCTAGTACTAATGGAGCCAGCCACCCATAAAGCGGAAAGTTGTTTTTGAGACCTACGAACAAAGTACAAGTTCTGGTCAATAGATGTATCCGCAGGCGGTAATGACGGAGGAGAACATACTGAGATCCAATGGGGTTATGAACCATTATAGCTAAGTTTTGCCCGGCGAGCATCGTTAAGGACTGTTCTCATAAGGAGTCAGGCAGACATTAACCAAACTATTAAGGACCTTTTGGATCATCTCAAAAAAGAAATTGCTGCAAAATGCTATGTAGATAATAGACTCGGCACCATGATCGATAACAAGCCTGGCCACATTATTAATAATAACGTCAACCTATCAAGCCAGAGGCAGACTACCACTTTTGACGGATCTTGTATATTTTGCTATAGGAGCAATCACGTATCGACAAAATGTCGAACGGTTAAAGATCCAGTAAGTCGTAGAAACATTCTAAAGGATGATGAAAACAGATGCTGGAAGTGTTTTTCTTCAGACCACAACAGTTTTCATTGTCAAAAACGGGACTGTTTTCATTGTGGGCAAAAGCAACACAGAAGTATATGCTTTCAAGATAGAAACAGTATAGCAACTCAAGGGAATCACTCCTTGACCCACAGCAATCGGAGGGTAGACCAACAATCTAGGAGGGCGTCAAACTCCTCTAATGGGTATCGAAGGCCTTCTTTCAACAAAAAAGGGCGCAGATATTTCTCCAACAGCTTCCATGCTGAGAGTAAAAGAGAGCCGTCCAAAGCGGCAGAACAAAACTGCGCGGCTTCACAGCTCGTCTTTCATGACGGTCGAAGGCGATCTTTGGAATTTCAAGAAGCAAAGCTATGAGAAAGTGTCATTCTTTTTCGATTCTGGGGCCCAACATACCGTCATAGAAGAGAAAACAGCAGAGCGATTTGGTATCCCAAGGGATTCTACCAAGATTTGCACCATGTCGGGTATGGGTGGCCATGTAGAGACCTTCAAAACCCATGCGGTTACCATAAAGGTATGCTCTATTTAGTGAAGAAATGGAGCTAGAGATCCAAACAAGCCGACAATTACAAGCGGCTTTCCAAGCGTCAAACTCAACAAAACAGATGTTAAATTCCTAAAAGAAAACAATATTCGTTTGGCAAACTCGAACTTGCAAGGGGAGCACCAAATTAATCCCATTTCTTTAATTCCCCACATCCTAGTAGGGTTAGACTACTACCATGACCTGATCACCAGTTCAGGTTACATGGAGAGAGGTCTCCATGTTGCGAAGACCGATTGGATTTGGACCCACCTTATATGGAAAAGGGTTGCTCGAAGTAGGAAATGCGAAAAACAATTCGCTTATGAATGACCACAGTTACAAAGCAGAGAATGTTCCCCATAGCAAACATTACTAACAGGGAATCTTTCGATTCACTTAAATTCGAGAACAGTACATCAAGACAGGACAAGCTAATGCTTTCCTCTAACAAATACAGCCCCTCACAAAAGGAAAAGGGTGGAACAGTGCTTCAACAGAAAAGACACATCCAAAAAAGGGAAATACACCCGGAAGAGATAAGGCAAGAATCAGGGCCAGGGTCGCCAGAATAGACGGTGCACATTGTGCCAACGTCCAAGAGAGGTGAGGAACACCTCCAGAGGCAGAGGTTCGTTTTTCGAGTGCCTCAATGGCGCATCCGGGTGGCCTCATGAATAGCAGTCGAAAAGACTCAACGAAGGTATCAAAGTTTTGCAAGATGAAAGTGGGGCACTACAAGAGTCATAAAGAGCGGCTTTGCATACGGGTTTAACACCGCGAAATAAGTTATCGATAAGTCCATCACTAATCTTTTTCAATCTGACAGTATCCATTATAAATAGTGATGCTAATCCTGTTATTTTTACTGACCAACGTTCGCATTCCACCTCCGCGTTGCTACAACCATATCCAGCCAAGTAAAACCCAGTTCGCCGACTAGCCACTTCCAGCCATCGCCTCTATCAATCGACTGTCCCATCACGACTTCAAGACGCTCATCAACTTGCTAAAGTTCTTCTACGTTGTGTTAAGAAACCGTGTTGCGATTTTCCTCGAAGTTGTAAACTCGTTGCCCGGCGGAGTATCGTCGTCTGCGACGACGATCCCACTCTCTACCTCCTCTCTCCACGTCTGGGGCTAGAACCTCTCTCAGCGTGGGTCCTTGAGTACTATCATGAGGCGGACTCATGATATGAATAGTCCAGGCACTCTGCCATATTTCCTACAATGCACTAGCTGCTTCTACCTCCCGTTCAACGTCCCGAGTAAGACGTCCATTTACTCGCCCTTCCTCGCACAACTACCGTCGCAATCAAGACGTAGGTTCATCTCATATACATAATAAAGGTATTATATAGATTACTGTTGTCATTCTCGCCCCTTACTGAAGGGCATATGTATATATAATTCCACTGAACCACCACAGATTAGACTACCTTGGCCCCTTTCGCTATTTAGACGCGCTCAACGCACCAGCTAAGCTTTGGATCTGCCTCATCACATGTATGACGACACGAGCCCTCCACCTGGAACTTGTCCTCAACAATACAGCCCATGAGTTTCTACTCGCATCCCGTCGTTTCGTCGCCCGCCGAGGGACACCAGACTTAATTTTGAGCGACAACGCCACTACATTTCATTCAGCGAATGACACTCTTCAACAGGTCATATACGGTCAGTCATCTGATGGCCATATCTCCTCCTATCTTGCTAGCCACCATATCGAATGGAGGTTTATCACACCCTTGTCGCCTTGGAAGGGCGGGTTTCGAGAGACTTGTTGGTCTGGTGAAGTCCGCACTCCAAAAGTCTGTGAGACATTCTCTCCTGCCGCTGAATTAGTTCCAGACACTCATCATTGAAATAGAAGGCCATTCTTAACTCGCGCCCCATCACATCCCTCCCCGACACTGCCTCGGCGCCAACAGTTCTTCGCCCGGTAGACTGCATCTCCCACAGGTTCAGCCAGTTGCCTAGCTCCGATACCGATCTCCGACATCAGCCTCACCGTCTCATCGAATGGTACAAGTGCACACTCGCCGCGCTAGATAGATTTTGGGAAGCATGGTCCGAGGACTATCTTTCAGCGCTTCGCGACCGTCAGACAACCCGCCTTCGTCAGGGTAAAACCACTCAACGTCTGCCAGGGTTGGGGACGTGGTTCTTGTTGGGGACAAACAAATGCCAAGGGGACAATGGCCCTTGGCCGCAAAGCTAGCATTTGACCACCAGCAGCAGGTCAGATCGGTTAACCTAAGAACTTCTAATGGCACCATACTGCAAAGGTCGCTCAATCACTTGTACCCTCTGGAGATAACAAAGCGAGGACGATTCCTCTCAGCCCTCACAACCCCAACCCCATAGAGTCCAACCCTCGAGAGCAGCAAAACGCGCCTTCTCATATAAGTCTGTGTTGCAAGACGCCAATGGACCTCCATTTCGCACGGTTCAATAACACTGCCCGTGAGTGGCCACCGTTTTGATACCTTTCACTACTCATTACTCATTTATTTACACTCATCTCATCTAATCAGGCCTCGGTACTAACAATAATTTTGCATCCTTTTCTCACGCAGCTCGTGTAATTCCCCTGCGCCCATGATTTCACAATCGAGCCCGCATTCGATCGATTAACCTCGGCTCAGAAATGAAATTCATCGTTACCTCTGTCTTCCCTTATTCGTCTCTACGATGAAAATTTTGTAACTCCTTCTTTGCCCGACGACATCACAATCGTACCCGCACTCGATCGATGCAACACATTTCGAAAATAAGTCATTATTGCGTCTGTTTCTCTCTGTCTCTGTACGATAGATTCTCGCAACACCGTTCCTGCCCAATGATTTCGCAATCGCATGTTTATTCGATCGATTTAGACAAGTCCATGGCCGCCTCTTGCCTCATGGACAACGCGCGCATTTCAATTGCTACGGTATTTCCGCACGGGACCCCGCGACCATGGCCACGACCGCCTCGCATCACTAGTTCGCAATCGTTCTTCGCGCCGCTGTCTTCACTCCACTCCTGTTACCCTAATTTCGGACTTCTCGCTCTGACTATTACTCAGCAATAATGTCTGTTGTTTCCTGTGCCTTCACTATACTTACACCCATCCTCACTGCCATCGAAGTCCTCGCTTTCATCTTCACCAGGTACAGCCTAGTTATCCCAACTCTGGATTCTTTGTTGTGAAGCATTGCTCGTCTCGCAACGGCGTTTTTGTTTAAATTTTACTTACTTGCTCATAGACCAATCAATAACTGACGTCATTACATATGCGATTTACATACTATTAAGACATAGTTAGCTGTCCTTAGAGGTGCATTATGTCTAATTGACTAATTGATGCATTTATGCATAGATGACAAGTGACATGCGATATCATTAGGTAGTTCTCCTTGTCGCCTTTACTGACTTCCTATAAGGTTCATGCGTATTCACCTGCCCCTCTGCTGATTAATGGTCTTGATAAACTGATTTTCTTGAAGTCTTGATTTAAGGCGCATGGTAGTTAGCGGTGCGTAGCCATCGCCTCATTGTTGATAGACACTCCATCACATTCTTACATTACGCCAATATTCGCACGCCAATACGACAGTAGTTTCGCACCAGGTTTCATCCGAACATCATTATTCATCATTCTTCACGAACTTCCTTACTTGCCGTCACATGTTCCAAGTTTGTCGTTTACATAAGCTATGACCTTCTCATTACCTGCGATTTAGAACTGATGTTTTGAATACGGGGCTCTTCCACAACAGCTATTAATTACGATTGCAGGAACGGCTCGAGAGCCTCACGAACTCAGCCATGGCCAGTCAAGCCCCGACGCAGCGCAAACGTCCCGTCAGTCCTGCCACCTCGGACGTCAAGAAGCCAGGTTCGGGCACGTGCCCACGAAAACGCAGGTTAGATCACAGTCGTTTCATTCACACACGAAGTCAATCTCATTCCTCATCTCACCCGCTTAGACAGTTTTGATTTGGAGACCGAATTATTAGTTCCTGCGTTGCGCAAACTTTTTGGATTTCAGGACCAACTCTTCCTCTCCATCGTTGCATCGTTCCAGTTATCGTCCGCTATCTCAACCGAAGCTCCTTGATCCTGCGGCCACATCCTCGCCCAGTCGAGGCCTCCGTGACAGGGTTCCGCAGGAGCTCATAGCACTTCTTGCTCAAGGTTCCACTGTAGATACCCCCAAAGGAGTCTTGGTTGCCGACGACGACGCCTCCGAAGATACCAGCATCGCACCCGAACATCGTCTATCCCTCCTGATCGCCCAGGCACTCACGCTCGCTCGTAACTACGACCACACGTTTAACATTGAACACCTCGCCGCTCGGGACATGGTGATGGTCGATGCATTCTTGCGCCATTCCTTCTACAACACACTCCGCAGCGGACTTGTCGACGAAGCCCATGTACCTACCGAGGCAGAGTTAGAGTACCCTCCAGTGAAAGAGTATTCCATTTACCTTGTGATCCAGGCATACAAGGCTCTCGCTGCAGCTACTCAGAAGCTCACCACCTTCAACTCAGATCTGCCCCAGGCCTCCGATAACTTCGAGAATGAAGCCAAGCTTTTGAAACTTCACGAAAGGCTTATCACTCTCATCTACAATGTGCAGGAACACCGCAACATTCTCGGAGACCTCATCATGCCCAATGCATTCAACCCACTCGAAGACAGCAAACAGGTTGTTGACATACTCAACCACTACTCCGTCACAATCGCTCGCATCAAACTCGTCTGTGTCACAGCTACCTCATTCGGCTACACCAATCTCAAACATATTGGCACCGCATTAGCTCGCCTACGTCAAGTCAACCCGGACCCTCCGTCTCCGGCAGAGTCTCTCGAGATACCCACTGTCGAGGAACTTTATGCACTTTACTCCGACGTCTCACAGAAGCAAGACTCCGCATGCACCCTCCAGTCGACTGACAAAAAGGATAAACCCGACAACGCACCGGAAAGCGATACCACGCCATCCGTACCTGCCACCATGACCGTCCGCCTGTCACGCCCCCTCCGCCACCGTGAGACCCATCCCTATGCTGCCATTTTTATGGTGGCCGCCACTACACTAACATGTGTACTCAGGTCGTCAATCTCACCGAGCGGTGCGTCAAAGCAGTTACTCAGGGACGTTGTCTTCGCTGTTTATATATCCACGTACCCGGATTTTGCCGTCGTTCCACTATGTGCCGCGTATGCCATGACCCTAATCATCATCCTGCCTTATGCCCTTCCAGTGAAAATGTGATAAAAGATGTTCATAAGGACGTGGAGGCGTTCTTCGACACAATGTGGACACTTTACCGAAACTTTCACTCAAAGCATTGACTGCCACACCGCCCCCTGGGTCTCCCTGGGAACACAACTACCCCCCCCACCCATCACACAGCGTGAGAGACCGCTACCAACCCAATTGGCCCTGCCCACCACACCCCTGGGAATCGACCCCCCTCAAAATCATGTAAGCGAGAAACAAAAGTCTCTCTCTCGCAAATTTTGCTTGCCCCACCATGTGCCCCTATCACCCAATCTATTCCATTACTTGCTCGATTGTAGAAGTTTTGTAGACGTCAACAGCGCCACTGTCTACTCCGCGTCGAGAACCTCCTTGCTATGGAAAGCAACAAATCTTCCAGTACAACGCACTACTGATGTCGGCCGCACGCCACCACACCAGTCCTGATCCTGTTCATGGCGACGATCTTATATTTTTGTGTCGTATCCTTTATGCATTGTATTTTCTCACTTATTCAAGGTATCCGCTTCTCTCTGAAGGTATTTTTTTCAATTGTATCCTTTTCTATTTCAGGATTTTTTCTATTTTTCTTGTTCACTTACCCTTCGAAGTATTCCTCGTGTATTCCGTTCCACAATTTCGAATGTATTGTCTGTTTGTTTTGCTCCCAAGTTGGTCATTCATACCTATTCTTCTTATCCTTCCATTGAATGGTCGAAGTTGCGATGACTAAGAGGTCTTCATCAAGTCATCATGTCGTTTCTCACAGCGCTAGCGTTCATACTCGATCAACACAGCTACATCTGCCCCCGCGGGAGTGTCGTGATGACTCACGAGCTCCCTCTGGTCGACACGGACGCGCATGCAACAAATCGCGCTCCAATTACAACGGGTATCGATCGATCATTTCAAATCAACGTACGCACTCTTCCCGCGCAAGGACGCTATATAAAAGGGATGCCCGGGAGCCCAGGGCTTCAGAGGGGAGAGCTCCGGGCAGGAGTCGCATCACGCACCATAGCTCGAATTCATGTTTTTGCCTTAAGTCATTGCGCTGAGGCCATTCGCCTAATCATCGTAATTTAACTTCACTCTCGTTCTCTATAATCTCCACTTGAACTGTTGTGAACTGTTCTATGTCAGATATGAAGCAATCGTGAAGTTTTTGTCTGTGTCTCATAACTGAGGGTAATTCCCTAATTACTATTAAAATGTAGTTGCAAGCACGACAGCGGGTTCGTACTTTTGCTTTTTCCAAGCATCTTCTGTGAATCCCGGAAGAATGTCTATTCCGTTATTTTTTGAGTCTGCTCTCATTTGCGGAAGGATAAAGTCAAATGCTGGCACTTCGTCAGTTGTGCTTCTATTTCGAGACTTCTTGAAAAATTAGCTGGTTTTCAGATGGTACATGAATGAGTTAAACTACAGCTACTGAAGAGCACATGTGGTGTTGTTCTTTCACAAAATGGTTAAAACAAAACAACCTCCCACAGGAAGCACAACGAATAAAGCTCTCCTCAGGTGGTGTAGTCACATCAGTTCAGAAGGGAATCAGTAATGAACAGGTGATACAAGTTCACCAGGATTTGCATCAAAGTATCCCGCGACATACAGGAGCAGGACAAAAAGTTCCTAAATCGAGGAGAGCAAAGTTGAAAATAAACTAGAGAAGAGAAGAAAAATAGGCAGGAACTGAAGCATCTATAGACCCACTTGAACACTAGGAAGGAGTGAACCTCCAAGAGTTGAATCAGGGCTGTTGCGCCTGGTGTTGTGTTGAGGGCTTCTAAACCTTTACAGGTGACAAAGCCAGTTGAATAAGGTTGTGGTCTTTAAAAGAGCTCCACGAATCAACTATCACAGGTGTTGACTGGATAAGCAACGCAGGATCTTGCCCAGTCAGCATAATCGGCTTACTCATAATATGAGTTGGCACTATTTACCCTTTACCCCAACCATCCAGAATTGAGCCGACTTTTTTCTCCGTGGACAGATTTGGCTCAAATGTTGTCTCCTGGGGTATTTTGACCTCCTGAATACGAATATGACATTCGCTCAGCCCGAAACTTCCTGGCGCCCGCGCCACAGGCGCCGGTGATTTGGGGTATTTTGGCGCCGGCGCCTGTAGCGCGGGCGCCAGGAGGTTTCGTGCCTAGCGGATGTGATATTCATGTTCAGGAGGTCAAACTACCCAGGGTACAAATTTTCAGCCAATTCTGCCAACGCAGAAAAAAGTCGGTCAAAAACTGGCCTGTTTTCGGAAGATTGGGGCAGTAAAGGGTAAATAGGGTCCATGAGTTTCATCCGCACAAGGAGGAGAACACTTGGAGGAGAACCGCATCGGATTCTTGTTAAACTTTTAATTTAAAGTGCCTAACTAGTTCTCCATCGAAGAAAAACGGGAACGAAAGCACATCACATGTGCTCTTCAGTAGCTGTAGTTAACTCACTCATGGTATGGTGCTCATCATTGCAGACCGGTGGGGCGGGTGAGCCGCGCTGCGTGTGACTCGGCTGTGACGCGAGCGATGACAGTCGCGTCACAGCCGAGTCACACGCAGCGCGGCTCACCCGCCCCACCGGTCTGCAATGATGAGGACTGTATGTACCATCTGAAAACCAGCTAATTTTTCAAGAAATCTCGAAATAGAAGCACAACTGACGAAGTGCCAGCATTTGACTCTATCCCTTCCGCAAATGAGAGCAGACTCGAAAAATAACGGAATAGACGTTCTTCCGGGACTCACAGAAGATGCTTCGGAAAAAAGCAAAAGTGCGAACCTGCCAAGGAAACGAACCCATGACCTCGCATCTATGAAGCAACTTACCTATCCACTACACCATCGACCGCTTATCACTGATGACTTTCGAACTCAACTTAAGCTAGCACAAGGAGTATTCGGCGGGTACTGTGCTGGAACCCCCCCCTAACTCCTCCTAGAGAATCGTTCCGCAAATTCTGAAAGCAGATTTGAGTTCAGTGTCCCGAGACGCACACGCCAATATGCATCTCATCCTGAATGGCCATGGCGACCTGTTGACCTTTCTGGTCAGTTGACTCTACAAAAAAGAAATGCAACGATGGTTCGAAAATCTAATGTACAATCTAGCACTACATCGAGACCCGTGTAGTGTCGCATCATCGGGGCAACGCGCTCCAACACGAAAACCGCGACGCGGCTGCGCAGATCTGAATGTTTGCCCAAGCTTTTAGGTTGTTGAATGTGAGTGTACATCATATAAAGAAATGATGGATGCTGACGAGGGTAACCACTATTCGTGTAGCTGCTGTATTTCGACGATTTCGTTACTTTGCGCTGCTTTGATATTGACGTATGTTTCGTCAACGGTTCGATTCTATGTGAAAGTTTTTCTTTACTTCACGGCCATCATCGCAGCTGGAACAGTTGGAGGTATAATAAGTTTGCCCTTTGGGAGGACGCCTAACAATCATTAGTGAGTTAAAGCAAACAAAAGTAGTTTGAAGTACTAGTAAATTTAAATACTAATAAGAGTCAGTTCTAGTAGGATGTTTCGACTATTCCAATGGTTCTCTTCGTTTTTACGACTGCGGTTCATATTACGGAATGAGCATTATTTGACGAGCGACAAAGCGTTCATTTTGATCGCTAACCATCAGAGCGCTATCGACGTACTTGGTAAGCTCCCTCTGAGGTTTCCCTTTGAAAGCGTTTTTTTAAAGGCTTTGAAATATTTCCATAACCATTCCGTTAGGAAGTTAGAGTATAGGTTAGAGCTCAGCCAGAAAAGTGAGATCCACTAAATTGAAGCCGTCCGTTTTGTGAGGTCGTGTTATTTTTTCAATAATGCCATTTTGAACTGTTAGCGTCGTGGAATTAAAAAAAAACACCAGGTCACATTACTGAAAAGCAACGCCGGAGTTATATGATTGATACTGTGTGAGTGTTACAGTGCAACTAAAGATTATGGGTAAAGTGTCTTCAAAACTGACCGCTTGGAGATTGGATAGTTCATACCCAGCGTGCTGGCAGCAGAGACCAGATAGGAAACGATCGTTTGCCCCCGCCCGCTGGGAGTTTTGGGAAAACCAGAGGACTCGCGAATCATCGATTGAGAGAATCAGCAATCCAATCCTCGCGCTCAGGTAATTCGTGGTCGTCCTTTGTGCAAGAAGTTAAGGGAATGTATCACGATTCGCGACTGCACAGCCAGTTAGGAGGGTACTACACTGCAGAAAATTCTAGTTCTAAACCCACTCAGTTGGACCGCCCAACAAACGAATGTCCTCTCCGCACCTAATGCAGACACGTCCAGTTGTTTTTCGTTGGGGAGACGGGCATAAATCCGAACTGCGTGTCCATTTTTGCCGGCCGCGCTCGTGCGTAAAAGTAATTTTGTTCTCCTCTATTATTTGTTCTTCATCAGGAGCGCATACAATCAATAGCATCCACCTCGCGAGGTAAGACTTGTTCAAATCCCTAGCAATGCAGTTTTTCGTGCAAAGGCTCGACGTTCACCAGAAATGCACACTTAGTCCTAAATCCATACGTAGGGTTTCAAAAGACTGTATGCCAACTTCAGTGACGGTGACATGCGCTCCTCCATGTGGTGCCACTGGGAACTGCTCGCTTTGCGAGCTGAGCTGATCGCGGACATCCGAATGCAGGTGACAGGCCTTCGTGACGGGCCGGCCTACGAACACCCCATGTCACATCATCATGTTTAACTATGCCTTATGAATTTCGAGATAATGCTACGGCGTCCGCGGGAGCCGACGCGCACTCGCAAGGCCCGACGAGTGTGAAAAATATGCGAGGGTCCTCGTTGCAAGGACGGCATCGGGGGGGGAACCAGGCTAGTTCGAAAGACGTGCAAGTTGCGACGCTGAATGTTGGGACGCTGACTGGACGCTCGTATGAGTTAGCAGAAGCCCTAGAGCGTAGAAAGATCGACCTCTGTGCCGTGCAAGAGACGAGATGGGCTGGTTGCAAGTCGAAAGAGTTAGGCCGCGGCTTCAAAGCCGTTCTTTGTGGCGGGCCGAAAACTACAAGTGGTGTGGCCGTGATCGTGTCTCAGCGATTTCGCGATTCGATTATGAGCGTAGTTCGTTTCGACGACCTTAATGAAGATTGTTGTCGCTATTGAACAACGACTGTACCACTTCTTCTCTGCATATGCCCCACAAACTGGATGCTCTGAGCAGTCCAAGGACGAGTTCTGGGCTCTGCTGGACGAGAAGACTGAAGTGCCACCAAAAGACGGTATCATTGTAGCCGGCGATTTAAACGGACACGTGGGCGCTGCAAAAGACGGCTATGCTTGTCATGGCGGATTCGGTTACGGTTCACGGAACGCCGATGGTGAGCGAGTCCTTGAGTATACAGACTCGCATGACCTTCATTTTGTACACAAAGTTTCGTAAACGTGACTCCCATCTCATCACGTTCTACAGCGGGAGTACCAAGACACAAATAGACTTTGTACTCATCAGGCATGGCGACCAAGGACTCGTGACAGACGCTAAGGTAGTACCGTATGAAACGGTTGCCACGCAGCACCGCCCACTGATTGGCACGCTCACAAGGGAGGTCTTTCAGGTCGTGGCGCGCTTTTTGGAAATGGTTTGTTGCTTGTTGTAGGGGTCCATACAAGGATCACAAAAATGGGTTTCATTTTTGCTATGCGTTTCTGGGTAGGTCAAAAACTGAGTGAAAAGAATTTGACAAGAATGGGCGGTTTTAACAATGTTAATGGGCTCCGTTCTGCTTGTAACTTCGAGCATGCATAGTTTATGAGGTGGTCACTAATTAGGCCTCAAAATAGATTCGATTAAAGTCAAAATGTAAGTATCATGTGGTAACACACTTGGCATGCACCGACGCAAGAGTGATGTTTTTGTCAGCGCTCCCTTCACGACCACTGCCGGCGGATCGGATGGCGCAGTGGATAACACGACGGGTTCTGGATGGCACGGCAAGGGGGACTTTGTGGATCGGATCCTCCTCGCGGAAATGTTTTGCATTTTTCAGCTTTCCATTCATTCGCGTGCCTGTGTGTCTGGCAGTGGAAATAAGTCAAGTATATGCCATTTGAAGGCATATACTTGTGGCCACATTGTGGCCTGAAAGCGTGCTTGTGCTGCCCCTCGTAGCTCATGTCAGAAGGGTTATTGCAATGAAATACCATCACATTTATGTTCAGCGGGTTGGATTACCCCTGGGGACTAATTTCTAGCCAAATCTGACGTTTCGACCTAACTTGGAAAATGTGGGCCATTCTATGGACAATTAGCAGCAGGCTGGGGTCCACCCACCATGGATGACTGGTCTTGGGATGGAATTTCCTACCGGTAATCAGGAAAATGATGCAGGCGGCACGAACAAGTGAGCCAGGTATTGTTCTTTGCGAAAAGACATGACTGAAGGGTTATTTCAGTGCAAAGACCAGTCATCACCAGTATGCTAGTCGGAGTATTGGCTATCATCCAGGCGTGACCATCTCTACCCCATTTTTTCGAAGTTGAGTCAGAACCTCGGATTTCCTCAAGGTGGCGTTTCTAGGGGTTGTTTGACCCCCTGAACACGAATATGATATCTATTTCGCACGGAGAGAGCTGTGAGTCGCGCTACAGGTGCAAATTCACTGCGCCAGCCCACCCGCAAGAAGAAAAACAGTGAAGGAAAACCTCCATAACTCCGCTCAGAGAATCGTTCCGCAAATTTTGAAGGTAGTTTCGAGTTCACTGTGTCAAGACGAGTACAATGATATGCACTCACTGCAAATGGCCAGGTTGTCCTGTTGGCCTTTCCTGGATGACACCTTACAAACCAGCACACTTGTGTGGAGAACCTTGTTTCCGGAAATGTTCTCGTCTCGTTGCGTTGATACAGATGCAAAACTGTTGCCGCAATGAGGATCCGAACCGAGTCCCGCATTGTCGTGCCATCCAGAATCCATCGTGCTATCCGCTACGCCATCCGATCCCAGCAATGGTCATGAAGGGAGCGCTGACAAAAACATCACTCTTGCGTCGGTGCATGCCAAGTGTGTTACCACATGATACTTACATTTTGACTTTAATCGAATCTATTTTGAGGCCTAATTAGTGACCACCTCATAAACTATGCATGCTCGAAGTTACAAGCAGAACGGAGCCCATTAAGATTGTTAAAACCGCCCATTCTTGTCAAATTCTTTTCACTCAGTTTTTGACCTACCAGAAACGCATAGCAAAAATGAAACCCATTTTTGTGATCCTTGTATGGACCCCTACAACAAGCAACAAACCATTTCCAAAAAGCGCGCCACGACCTGAAAGACCTCCCTTGTCAGACTTGTAGCCTCCAGACCGGTGCAGGCAAAACGGTGCGGTCCTGAATGAATTGAGTGGTGGCGAGCGGGAGGCAGCTGTGATTCCTCGTATTCGACTACCTGAAGTCACAACTGTTCAGGAGACCTGGAACGAAGCCGTTAATTCTATAATCCAGGCCGCCCGCTCCGAACTCGGCACAACGAAGCCTGGACGGCGGAGGATTGACAAAGAGGCATGGCTCTGGACGGACGACGTCAAAGCGAAGGTTCGAGAAAAGAAGAGGCTCTATCACGCGTTTCTCGAGCACAAGTCGGCTGACAACTGGCGGCAGTATCGGGAAGCGAGGAATGCGGCCAAAGAAGATCGTGGAAGGCCGCTCACTTCGATGATATCAGCAAGAAGCTGGAGACGCGCGACGGTGAGCGGTACCTGTACGGACTTGCCAAATCTCGTCATCGCCAAACCGAAGACATTGAGAAGTTTTTGGCATAAGTGATGAGAATGGCCACCTTCTGATGGACCGAAAAAGGGTATTGCAACGATGGCGTGAATACTTCGAGGGCATCTCAACGGTGGAATTCGCCCATCCCGCTATACCCTGTACCGCACCAATATGGTCCCGTTCAGAAGATCACCGTACAGGAAACAGAAGCTGCTCTGAGGAAGATGAAGGCCGGCAAAGTAACAGGCCCCGACGACATAGCAGCTGATTTGTGGAAGTCACAACGCTGGTTTTCTGCGGGTTGGTTGACGAAACTCTTCAACCAGATCGTCGAAGAGAAGAAGGTGCCCAAGGACTGGCAGCAGAGCGTGACGATCCCGATTTGGAAGAAGAAGGGCAGCCCGGCAGATTGCTCGAACTACCGTCCAATTCGCCTTCTCTCGCACACTATGAAAATCTTTGACCAAATTGTTGACGCCCGCGTTGCGTTGATGTAGCGTAACGCCCAGCTTTCCACCAATCAGCGTGGCTTCGTGGCGGGTTGTAGCACCGTCGACGCCATACATGCCGCTCGCCTATTGCTGGAGAAACACCGTGAGAAGCGAAAGCCCGTGCATGTAGCTTTCTTAGACCTGGAGAAGGCATTCGATCGTGTGCCGCGTGATGTTATATGGTACGCTTTGAGGCGGCACGGCGTGCCCGAAGAGCTAATTGAGTGGGTGCGCATCCTTTACTCATGCCCAGGGAGCCAAGTTCGCTCACCAGCGGGTGTCTCAATGGAGTTCCCCATCACCGTCGGGGTACATCAAGGCTCTGCGCTCTCCCCACCAGGGCACGCCATCGCGTTGTGAAGCATTTCTGCCAAATACGACCCCTCGCCTCTGAAAAGGGTTTCTATGCGATCCCCCACCCCCTTGTCCGCTGCTAATCTGGTAGCAGCGGACCAGATCAGCAGCGGACAAACAACCCGAAAAATGGAAGATCTGCGAAAATAAACGACAAAAAAAGACGCGACGTTAATCAAGGATAAATATGAGAAACACGATGA